AGATGAAGCCGAAGACATCATCAAAGATATGAGCAAACAAGGGTAATTGAACCATTAAACAGTCCATGGACATCACTAGTAGTGCTAGTAAAGAAGAAAGATGGTTCAACACGTTTTTGTATTGACTACCGACAGCTCAATGCGGTAAATAAAAAAGATAGTTATCCTTTGCCCAGAATAGACGACACTTTGGATACACTTTCTGGTTCTCGTTGGTTCTCCACACTCGATCTGAAAAGTGGATATTGGCAAGTAGACATGGAGCCAGCTGATCGTGAGAAAACCGCATTCTCGATAGGATCAGGGCTTTGGCAGTTCACAGTTATGCCCTTTGGTTTATGTAATGCCCCAGCCACATTTGAAAGATTAATGGAGGCAGTTTTAAGAGGTCTAACATGGAAAACATGCCTGGTTTATTTGGATGATGTAATTGTAGTAGGAAGATCCTTCGATGAACATGTAAATAATTTGACAGAAGTCCTTCAACGATTGCGGGCAGCAAATTTGAAGTTGAGTCCGAAGAAATGTCACTTGTTTCGACGAGAAGTGAAGTACTTGGGACATATTGTAGCAAGTAATGGTGTTACAGCTGATCCTGAAAAACTTGCAGCAATTAAGGATTGGCCGGTACCAAGAGACAAACACGAAATTAGAAGTTTTCTTGGCCTTTGTACATATTACCGACGTTTTGTCAAAGGATTTGCCAACATCTCCAAGCCATTAACAAAGTTGACAGAAGAAGGCAAAGAATATACATGGAGCGAAGAGTGCCAAAGAGCTTTCGAACACTTACAAATGGCTCTGATCAGCGCACCGATTTAAGCTACCCTAGACAGGCAGGAAAATTTGTGTTGGACACAGATGCAAGCAACAGTTCAATAGGAGCTGTTCTATCCCAAATCCAAGATGGGCAGGAGAAAGTCATCGCTTACTTTAGCAAAGTCTGGTCGAAACCAGAAAGAAACTATTGCGTTACCAGGAGAGAATTGCTAGGCGTATTAAAGGCTTGCGAGCATTTTCATAAATACTTGTATGGCAGAAAGTTTCTTCTTCGCACGGATCACGCTGCTCTAAAATGGCTTCTACAATTCCGTAATCCAGAGGGCCAGATGGCAAGATGGTTAGAACGATTACAAGAATATGATTACGACATTGAACACAGGGCTGCAAGAGTTCATTTAAATGCTGATGCCCTTTCGAGACGGCCGTGCAGTGCAAATTGTAATCACTGTCTTAAATTAGAAGAACGACTTTGCCCCGTGAGACGAACCACCGTCATTAATGATCAATGGCAGCCTCAACAGCTACAAGACGCTCAAGCAGATGATCCATGTATAAAAAGAGTACTGGATTGGATGCGTCGAAGTGAAAGACCTTCTTGGCAAGACATTAGTGCATGTAGTCCAGAAGTCAAGTGTTACTGGAGCCAATGGAATTGCCTAGTGCTAAAAGATGATCTTCTTTATAGAACCTTTGAGAACGATGATGGTACAGAATCTAAGCTTCAGTTGATTGTACCTAAAAGTAAAGTGTCAGAAGTATTGCGTCAGTTACATGACGGTGCATCAGGTGGACACTTTGGTATTACGAAGACTCTGCAAAAGGTTCGAGAACGGTTCTATTGGGTGAACTGTAAAGATGATGTAAGAAGATGGTGCCGGAAATGTGAACTGTGTGCAACCAGTAATGGTCCAGTTGGTAAAAAGAGGGCACCCATGAAACAGTACAATGTTGGTAGTCTTATGGAAAGAGTAGCAATTGACATTGCAGGTCCACTTCCAGAGACAAATGATGGAAATAAATATATCCTGGTAGCCATGGATTATTTTACGAAATGGACGGAGGCCTATGCGCTACCAAATCAAGAAGCTGCTACCGTTGCAGAGGTACTGGTTAAAGAATTCTTTAGCCGATTTGGTGTTCCCTTGGAGATCCACTCCGACCAAGGGCGAAACTTCGAGTCAAACCTTTTCCAAAACGTTTGTAAATTGATTGGCGTCAATAAGACCAGAACGACACCCCTTCATGGTCGAGAGATGGAATGGTCGAGAGAATGAACCGAACGATGGGTAAACACCTGTCCAAAGTTGTATCAGAACATCAAAAAGATTGGGACCAGCACATTCATTTATTCCTAATGGCCTACCGCTCGGCCGTGAATGAAACTACGGGCCAGACTCCAACCTGCCTGATGTTAGGTCGTGAAGTTCGTTTGCCCTGCGACCTAGAGTTTGGCTGCAGACCTTCTGAAGAACATGTTGCAAGCGAAGATTATGTCGACCGCCTAAAGTTAAGAATGAACAACATTCATGAACTTGCCCGACAACACATCCAGTTAGCCAGTGACAGAATGAAAGATCAATACGATTCTCGATGCAAGAATGAAAGCTATGAAGTAGGTGATCTTGTTTGGCTTTATAATCCCCAACGTCGTCGTGGCTTGTCTCCTAAACTGCAAAGACAATGGGAGGGTCCGTATGAAATTAAAAAGAGAATAAATGACGTAATATACCGAATTAAGAAGTTGCCGAAAGGTAAACCAAAAGTAGTTCACATAAATCGTCTTGCACCTTATGCTGGCTCAAATGAAACCGAAGAAGTCCGAACCCTTCAACATGAGATCAAAGATGATCGGCGACCAAACTTTAATGAATTTATGTCAAATTACGCAGAGAGAACGAGTGCTAGATTCGGCGTGACGACAGAAGTTCAGCAGGATCTTTTTAGTGTTCCACATAACGTCTCTCTAGCCCACTGCGTTGCCCAAGATCTTGAGATGACTAAAGGAATCTCGTCCGTATTTTATAAGAAATTTGGTCGCTTGGGCGAGTTAAAAAACCAGCAGCCTAAAGTCGGAAGAGTGCTGAGATTAAAATATGGTTCTCGATCTTTGTTGTATATGGTGACCAGAAAGTCGTATACAGACAGGGCAAGCTACGAGGATATATGGCGTGCTCTGACTAATTTGAAGAAAATCGTCTGCAATTACGACACTAAGAACTTGGCTTTACCCAAGATAGGCCATGCACTAGATAATCTGGATTGGAAGATTGTCAGAAGTATGCTTGAAGTGATCTTCCGAGAAACCGGTGTAAGAATTACTGTGTGTTGCATTAATCCGAAGAGATCGTGTCCTTCAAAGACAGTAGACTGTTATTTCTTTCTGAGGGGTTCATGCAGAGCTGGAGAGTCCTGTAGATTCCGCCATCCTGGACCTATAGATAGAGTTCCTGATCGGGACGCTCAGATCTAAGAGGGGAGCAGTGTTACGAACATGCGTTCAGCAGCTAACAGCATCTAAGTGGCTTGCCTAACGGTCGCATCTCGAAGCATCGAGAAGTGTCGGCTTTATATCAAGCGCTGTAAAATTCCACCCGTCGAATAACGAATTAGAGGTGGGACTAGTCCCGAACATTCTCGAACATAATACTTTGGTATATATATGTAACGGAATTAGGAGTTAAGTTTAGTTGATAAGAGAATACCGAACTGTAAAGTTATAAATAAATATATTTATATAAATTCGAACCGCTCGTTTTATTTAAAAACGGTACAATATTAATACTATTACATAAATTAATACTAGACTTAACAGTATGCGCACAGAAGACATCTTTTAAAAAGAGCCTTCAGAAAACACCTTTAAACCGTTTTATTTTCGTCAAGTAGTGTGCAATATTTAAAACCATTATTACAAACGAGAGGTTCAGCCAGTGAAAACGAATTTCGAATTATGGTACACGTAATAGAAAATCCTCAAACAAGCATCCGCCAATTGAGCAATAATACAGAGTTAACTGCAACGACACTTCCAAAAATTATAAAGAAAAACAAATAATTACACCCATTTAAAATTCAGTTGCATCAAGAGTTAAATAAAAATGATTTTCAAAGATTTTTGTATGTGAGCGAAAGAAATGTCACAAAAAATCAAAATGTAAATTTTTTGAAAAATATTTTATTTTCAACTAATCGATATATCATCGCAATGGGTTCGTTAAAAGACATAAAAATTGTCATTATTACTCCGATGAAAATCTTTCACCTATTTCGAGTCACGTCTCAGAACAGAATATGGCTGTTAAATATTTGGAGAGGCATTGCTGGTTTATACGTTATTGGACCTTAGTTCTTCGACCGAACGCTCACTGGCAATTAGACAAAACATGAGGTTTGAACATGACTGAGTACCACTGCACAGTACAAAAAATATTAGAAGTGTGCTAAGTAATAAATACAATGACATTTGGATTGGATACGGTGCTACTGTGTAATGGCTCTCAAGATCCCTAGGACTAACTCCATTGGACTATTGTTTCTGGGGGTATATTAAGAATATAGTATACAACGAGGAATCTACAACATGGGATAATATGAAACTTTGTATTTGGATTCGATTAGAATACATAAACCACATAAACTTAATGATGATGCACTCGGTATACACATTGCCGGTTCGCTGTTATTTTGAAAAAAATACAAATTTAATAATTTAATAACGTTATTTTCAAATAACAGCGAACCGGCAATGTGTATACCGAGTGCATCATCATTAAATATATGGAAAAGTCATAAAATCGGAAATTGTATTTTCCTTTTTTTATCAAACCACATAAACTTACATGACACTGTACGCCAAGAGGTTACATTTATATATGCTTTTTAAACGAAACAAGCAGTCATCTTTTTGTTTTACTCACATGTTTCAAGTAATACAAAGCGGCTTATATGACTGCTACGGCGACAAAGACAATAGAAGGAGGGGTCGATATGACCGCTGCGGCAGTGAATCTGTTAACATATTTAAAGAGTATATAAATTTTTGATTTTCCCTTTTATTATTCAGTTAGATTACGTTTAATTTATTTATCATAGAAGTTGCGATTTAAAATAACATTAACCATTACCAGCCTTAACATTATATTCATGCATTTTTTCCAAAATTACTCTACAATTGTACCGACTACTTGATTAAACAGTAATATCAATGTCTTACTTACCTGTTTGGTTTAGGTCTACTAGTGCTAATATAATGACTAAGTGGTTTGGTTGGCTTATTATAGTTATTGCTATGACTATTTTGACTTTGACTAGGACTAGAACTTGAATGAGTATAAAGAATTTGTGGTTTGTTGGAGTAATGCTGTTGCTGAGGCGGAAGCAAAGTATTTTGTGTTGAGTTGTGCGCACAACACGATCCAAACATGAACGCATCTACACACATACCTAAAAAAAATAATATTTATACTATATATTAGCAATGTGTTAAGAAGATATATTTGATTTTATTAGCAGAGATAGGTGCATTTAGATTAGTGGTCGCCAACCTCTTCAATGTGTTGAGCTACTTTGTTAATTTTGGAATAAACAGCGAGCTACCCACACGGAAGCCACGTAACGCAACGTCAATGAAATAATCCACAGTTAATCTATCATTATATGTATTTATTTTACTGTTTAACTGGTAATACATAATACATAGGTACTAATATTAAACTAATAACAAAATGACTAATATTACTAGTACGTACTTGTTCATAGCTACATTCCTACCCATCAAACGAAGGTATTTGAAAAATAAATACAAACTTTTATCCAGCCACAACGGCATGTCACGTATGATTTAAAAATAGTTAATAATAACAACAAAAAAGTAACGCACTATCATAAACATTGAAAAATAAAAAAGCACGTTCAATGAGAAGGCTGACACTCAGACTCATCGATAATTTTTTAATGTTTGCAGTACAATTTGATGCAGCCATTCGAATACAATTATCCAAATGTTCATGTGTAAGTCGATTGCGATATTTGTTCTTAATAAACTTCATATTAAAAAAATAAGATTCCCACAAATAGGTTGAACTGAATAATGCTTTCACTTTCAAGGCAAGACGGCATAGAACTGAATATTTGTCTTTACTTATAATAGGCCAGATACATTCAGTACTTGAGCCTAACGATTTTAAGGCTAAATTATTTTGAAACTCAATGACTTCCATTTCTGTTGCAGCGATGTCTTTGCCAAAGTTCTGCATAACACAAGCTGCAAACTGCTGGATATCAATTTCCATAAAGGGCGAAACAACAAACTGCGCTACTAAAGCCATTTCATTGAAATCCTTAAAACGATTTTTGACGTTAGTCTTCAGGGTAGAAATTATTTCTACATGATATTAGTTTTTGTTCCCAAAACTCCAGCTTTTTGATAAATGCTTTTATATCAGAAATCATTTCCGCTAGTTCTTTGTCTCTCCCCTGAAGCTGCAAATTAAGTTCGTTTAATTTCTCTGTAATGTCCACGAGAAAACCAAAATCTCTAAGCCAGATTGAATTTTCTAGTTCCGGAGTCGGTTCATCACGTTGTTTGAAAAATTGAACTATGCCAGATAGGACATCATTCAAACGTTTCAGCACCCATCCTCTACTTAACCATCGGTGGAGCGCCATCGATTGTCAAGCCTACCATTTTCGATATTGGAATTTTCTCGGAAGAAGTAATATTTTTTAAATGAGAAAACAACTCCTGTCCAGTAGTGTGTCCTTTCAGTGGAATGAACTTTAAAAGATCTTCTTTAATCGTAAAATCACTAAAAATCATTCTGACGAACACGGCCATCTGGGCAGTGTAAACGACATCTGTTGATTCATCCAGTTGAAGTGACTAATAAACACAGTTATCTAAGTCAGTTCATAACTGTAAAAAAATATCATTGCTCATTACTTCTACACGTCTCATCACTGTATTAGCAGAAAGTTGCATAGATTTTATAGCTGAAACTATCTCGTCTTTATTTCTAAAGTTGGCAAATAACGAATCAGCAGCTTCTAAAAACGCCTGTTTTATCATTTCCCTGTCTTCATAAGGTTTCGTTTTTTGTGCAATTATCTGGGACACACGGTACGATGCTTCAGTTGCTGCCTTATTTTTGTCGACTGTTCTTAAAAATATTGATTGTTGTCCAATTAACTGTTTTTTAACTGTTTCAGTTTCTCCTTTCTGGCGGCAGAATGTAGTGGGAATGATTTTTCAAAATTAGAATGTACAGTTTTATGATGTCTCTCAATATTTCCTTTTTTAGCAACGGAGACCAAAGTATTACACAACAAACACACATTTTTATCTTTAACTTCTGTAAAAAAGTATTGTTCCCATATATACTTCCCATTCCGAATGAAAGTGGTATGTTTTTACCTTCTTACAACTGCTTGTCATAATATTATTTTTGTTGTTCTCTACTAACCCAACCGCTGGACGTTGTTTACGCGTTCAGTTTTAAACTAAGCGCAATGTCGCCGCGCCGTGCGTATTTATCCTGTTCAAAGCAATCCAGATCGTTCTCGAACACTAACGCGCTGGTCACCGCAACGTTGCCTCTGCATATTATGACAATTAGATTCTTTTGTGGAATTTTCGGAAGTTTCTCTGATTTTTGCAGTTTGTATTTTTTAAATTAAAATCGTTGAGAGAGCTACCAGCTTAGGTTGGCGACCACTGATTTAGATTCATACATGGGGTCATGCCAATCTCTTTAGAATAGAATAAAAATATGCTTTGTTGTCACTGAAAATTGTACAATATTATGGGCAAAGCCTACAAAAAGTCAAAAAAATAACAATAACAATTAAAATTTACTAAAATTACATAAGTCGTCAATATCACAAAATAAAAGGTAATAAAATATACAATCCATTGCAAAATTTAACTAGATAACTAAATCAGTGAGTCGTGGGACAATACCCAAGAGATTAAATGTCGCATCGGAAAGGCAAAGAGTGCAACAAAAATAAGGCTCCTTAAATGTTATCTGTACTAAGTGCTCCTGTACGGAGTAGAAACGTGGACATTAAAGGCGAAAACTCTATCAAAACTTCAGACTTTTGAGCTATGGTTATATAGAAGGATCTTGAAGATACCATGGACAGACAAAGTCACAGAATAACCTAAAGTTACCATAATAAGAAGAAATAAATTGCATATTGCATAAAAAAACCTTACGAACTAATAAGTTTGAGTTGCTGAATGAAAGTCAGATTGAACGCATCTTGATTTAAGGCATGGAACACGCGTAATAAACTGCTGAAATTATAGAGGCGAAAACATAGGCTCAGAACATTCCCTAATGATCTTAACATTGAGGGATAGAATTTCAAACACCAGTAAAGAAAATAAAATGTATACAAAACAAATGGAATGTGCAAAAGCTGATCGATGCTACTGGACCAGAAGAAAGTAAGACATTTAAGCAGTAGCGAAAGAGGAAATAGGAACAGAAATTTGTGCCCGTAGTAATCATTGGCTGGATGATAAATTCAATAATGCAACAAAAAATAAATTGCTGTAGAGAATTATTAGACAATGAGAAGAAAAGAAAAGAGGATACACAAAGGAAAAAAACGAAACCACTTAAATAAGGAACTTAAGTATATGGAAAACCTAAACAGAGAGAAATAATTCAAAGCATTCAATAAGAAGGTTAGAAAAGAACACAAGGTAACTACAAGACCATGTAGAAATCAGAATGGCGATCTATTAACAACAAAGAAAGATGTATTGAATAGATGGGTGAAATACCTGAAAGACGAAAGAGGTGTAGTAAATGGAACAGATGAGAGGGAAGAGGAACCAACAACGATTTTTGAAGTTAAAGATGCAGTTAAAAAGCTAGCGAAAAATGATACAGAAATGATATGGACACAGAAATCCCTCCCCAATGATTGGAATGTTGGAATACTTTGCACCATATACAAAAAAAATCGTATAAAATATTTTCCACAGTACTATGTCACCGTATGGCACCATATGCAGAACGGATAGTTCTTGCCAGGCTGCTTTCAGAGGTGGTAAATCGACATTTCATCAGATTGCAACCCTGAAACAAATTTTTGAAAAATACTGGAATATGGCATTAATTCTAAACGAAAGTTTAGATGGAGTTGGTTTTTTGATTTCGAAAAAATGTACTCATAAAATTGAGGAATACGTAGGAATAACAGAAAGAATCGTTTTATTAATTATAAATATCAGCGAAAAGGTCACTTTAAAAATAATTCAGATTTATGCGCCAAAATCTACACACACAGACGAAGAAATGGAAGAATTCTATAAACACCTCACAGAGTCCATGACATATCGAAACACTACATACACGATTATATTGGGCGATTTGGGGGGAAATGGACAAAAAACTAGAAGAAAACGAAAACTGTATTGGAAAATTTGGACATGGAGTAAGAAATGAAAGAGGAAATTTATTGGTTAACTATCTAGAAAACAACAAATTATTTGCCATGAACTCTTTCTTCAATATACAGTCCACATAGGAAATGGACGTGGATGTCGCCAGATGGGAACACTAAAAATGAAATTGACTACATACTAACAAACAAAAAGAACGTTTTTGTTCAACTCAATCTCTACTGGTAGTGATCACATAATGATACGGGCTAAAATAAGTATCAAACACAGAAAAGATCGAAGAAAATATGAACACTCTAAGAAAAAAGTTCACCCAGAAAAATTAAAGGAGAATAAAGTACAATACTAAAACAAGTTAAGAACAGCTGAAGAACTAAAGCTAACAGACCTAAATCTAGATCAACTAAATAAAGCCATTACTGAAGAACTTCTAAAGACTAGCTTAGAAGTAGCAACAGCAAAATCAGACAAAAAATAAAAACTAAGTGCCATATCTTTAGACATGCTACAACAACGGAGAAGCCTACTACAAGGAAATAAAAGAAATACAACTGAATACAAAACCCTTAATGCAGAAATAAGAAGACATATAAAACAATATCTCAAACGGCATCAAGAAGAACTAATAGAGAAGATTATAGAAGAAAATAGAAACTTAAGACCTATCAAGTCCCACCTAGGAAGAAATAAAATCATAGAGATGGAAAATAAACAAGGTGTAATATAAAAAAGCAGAACCCAAATATCTCAGATAACAAATAAATATTATAGTGACCTCTACAGCTCTCAAAACAGTCCACCTGATACAACTCAACAAAACCTGAAAAAGAAAATAATGAATGTAAACTCTGAAATATTACCCCCCATAACCGGAGAAGAAATAGAAAAAGCAATTACAGATATCAAAAGAAATAAGGGTTCAGAAGACGATGAAATTCTAATTGAAATGTTAAAAGAAGGAGGGGAAAAGATAAAAGACTACCTAAAGATACTTTTCAATAAATGTTTGTTTGAAGGACAAATACCG